TTGGACGACGTTACTTTTTAAAATTATTCATATCATGAGAGCAACTAATAAAATTCATCAATAAAGAGAATTTTCATTCATCATATACAATATCTACTACATCATCCCAAAGGAATATGCCAAATCATGGCCATAACATCAAAATAATATGCCAAACCATGGCCATAATATCAAAATAATATGTCAAACTATGACAATTACATCTAAGAGAATTAAATGTAACTTTTCAGTGGAATAACAAAAGATTAACATGAACATTATCTCAAAAGGAATTTTCTAGTCTAGGACATATAAATATCAATCCTAGATATCCCCCTCTGGATCCACTTAAGCTTCTCGAGCTACCTGTTCATCGACTCCGAGTTCTTCCTCTAAGCTATCATCTGAAAAGTATGATATTTGTAGGGAGTGAGCATTAAGTTCTGTAGAAAAATCCTCCCAAACTCAAACAAGATTTAAAAAATATATAAAATCAGTCAGTCTTATTTCGGAATTATTATATATCAATTTTGAAAGAAAATAGGGACATTTCAGGAGATCTCAGGTTTACATAATAGCAATAAATTAAATGAAGTAATAATGCCAAATTACAAATAACAAATTATTTTCAACCATAAACCATTTCCCACAAGTTCTTGTAGAATCCCATACTTTCGCAAACTCTTGTAGAAAATCATTTATGGTACAATAAATCACAAACCCATAACTTGTATTCGTATCTTAGGTATGATGCATGATTCACATGAATAAACACATTGAGAATATCCTGGCCTACACACACACTCCCAAATTCTTGCAAGGATTTCTAACCTTTAGGAATAGTATGCTAACTCATGGCAGTAACGAATCCAACCTAGGAATAGTATACTAACCCTCAGTCTCGATAATATATGAGTGAATAGTAGTTTGGCCTTCGCAAGACACCAACCCCACTACGAGTGATAGGGAACCTTCAAACCCACATGGAGTAAGAAACACATCTAACCCATTCTACGATATTCGGTCAATGGCTATCTATGGTAATCCAAACATCCACAAGAGATACAATATCCAATCACAAATACATTTAAAAATCCTCAATTTTCACAAGTAGTATCCCAATAGAACAATTTAAGAAAATATGCAAGAGATCATCATAAATACCATTTTATGGTTCAATATAAAGCACAAAAATTTTGAAATCAAGAACAAAGGAAAAATCAAGAGAAAAATCTATTTCTCTTGAAAACTAGGGTTTTGAGTCAAGAAGAAGAGATTTAAATGTTATCCCACCATAGATTTGTTTAATACATGATAGTGTTTGCAAGAATATCAAGAATCAATGATTTATTAACAAATAAATAATATTTAGAGTTAAAAAGAATACATATAAGTAAATCTTAGCATCAATGTAAGAGAATAGGAAGAACCCATACCTTGGTGCTCTTGAGGAAATCTAGGGTTTTGATTCAATCCAAGGCACAAATCCCCTTTTATCTTGTGTTCTTCTCTTCCTTTCTTCCTCTCTAACGTTTTCTAGGGTTTGAAGTGTTGAAATGGAGCTAAATGGGACGTCTTTTATGTATTTATAGTGGAAGGAATCGAACCCAGATTGCGACTTAAAATTTATGGAATCTGTTGGGCGTACCGGTACAGTATGACTACTAGTCTTTGGCGTACCAGTACCCTTCGGTAATTTTGTCCTTTTTTCCTGTTTTTCATTTCCAATCCATTTTTAACCTTTTCAAAACCAACCCAAACTTGTACAACATAAATTTGTTCATCAAATATAGTTGGTACAAATTCTATTACAAAACGATTCATATATTTACCCGAATTTTACCATATTAGTATTTCAAAAAGAAATGATTACTTGTTATGTAAAGAAAAGAATGTGGGGGTTTACATATCTATATATATATATCTATATATATATATATCTATATATATATATATATATATTATATTCGTCAGTGGTTTGATTTCACCTCTCTCGCTCACCTACTTGCTCTACATTCACACTCTTTCTTTGAATGTCTCTATGAAGTTAGGAGTAGACTATGGTACATTCAACAAGCTTTTTGGTACCATTCCGAAAAACTTGTGGCTGTAAAAAGCTAAATTTTTGTTTCAGAAAGATGTAGAAAAGGCCATGTGTAAAGCAAAAGTAGGGCAACTGGATTGACCTATTGCTCACTTACATTGTACAACAATGATGGATGAAAGATATACTACAACAATGAGAGAATTACAAAAATAATGATATAGTTACAATATTACTTCCAGGATTTACAACAATAATGGGTACAATAACAAAGATAATGGTATTCTTACAAAATCATTGCAAGGGTAACAATTTTATTGGGTACAAATACAAAAATAATAGTATAATTACAACAAGAGAGAAATTTTGAACATCAGTGGAAACAATTACAAAGGTAAAGGAGTATTTACTACATTAGTAAGAAATGTACAATAATAGTGGGGATAATTACAAAACTAAAAGTATATTTACAATAAAAGTGGATAAATTTACAAGGACAACATACTCGTAGTCTATACTGTACATTTTGATTGATCTACATAATTTATGATCGATCATTACATTTTAATCGATCTAAGTAATGTATGATCGATCATTATATGGTAAGGTGCGGTGTAAAGAAAATGAAATTTTGGAAAAAAAATAAAAGAATAAAAAATTTGACCAAACACGAATATGAATGATCGATCATATTGGTTCAATAAGATGTTCTTACAAAATCATTGTGAAGTTAACGATATTACTGGACACAAGTACAAAAGTAATGGTATAATTACAACAAGAGTGAGAAATTTTGAACATAGGAGCGAGAAATTTTGAACATTAGTGAAAATAAATATAAAGTTAATGGGGTATTTACTACATCAGTAAGAAATGTACAAATAGTAGTGGGGATAATTACAAAATTAAAAGTATATTTACAACAAAAGTGAATAAATTTATGAGAACAACATACTTCTAGTATGTACTATACATTTTGATCGATCTACGTAATTTATGATCGATCATTATATTTTGATTAATCTAACTAATGTATGATCGATCATTATATGGTAAGGTGTGGTGTAAGGAAAATGGAAGTTTGGGAAATAAATATATAATTTGATCAAACAAGAATATGAATGATCGATCATATTGGTTCAATTGAAGCAAAAATAAGTAATGTGGAAGTCTGATCAATCGAGGAAAAATATAATAGATCAATAATTAGTAAATTTATTGAAATGCCCTCAAAAAGTAACGTGTAGTGTAAAAAAAAAAAAAGTAATTGAATTCGATCGATCTCATGAATATATTGATCGATCATATTATTATAGTGTAATTTGAATCAGAAGTAATAATTGATGTGGAGGTCTGATTGATCATGTAAAAAATATATAGATCAGTAATTAGTAAGTGAGTTCGATTGATAAAAAATATATAGTGATCAATCTTATTTTTGCAAATGTATTAGTTGAAGCATAGAATTATATTCTGTGGGTTAGTGATCGATCAATTATATTTAATGATCGATTAAGGAGTTACAGGCAATGTTATCAAAACCAAATCGAACCGGTCGGTCAGACCGATTCAACCGTGACCCGGGACCTTAACCAATCTGATTCCCTAGTTGGATCGCATAAGGAAGAGAATCGATTAAAAACCGAAAAATTGGCCGATTTTTGTAAAAAACCATGAACCGGACAATTTTTAAAAATCGAACGGTTTGAAAACATAAATGCAAAATTACTTATATTAGAATCTTTTTTTTTATTTGGGCCACTTTTTTGCCCTAAATCACAGACCAGCTCAGGCGACTAGCGAGGAACTTAGGCAACCAACAAGGAACTCAAGCGACTGCTCAGGCGACCATCAAGGCTACTGCAGTTCCTCAGTGCTCACTACTCAGTTCTCAGGCGCACTCAGGCAACCTCTTCGACAACAAACGATAGCTAACAACATCAATCTCTCTCTCTTGATCACTGCTGTCATCTCCTCCCTTTATTTTCTTTTATTATTCAGGTGAAACATAGGGAAACACAAAGAAGAAATTAGTCATTGTCTAGAGAAGTATCCCTACAATTTTTGTTATTTACATTTTCTTCCCTTCCGCCACTGGCTATTAGGGTAAGAGGTCATGAGTAGTCCATTTTGGTTGACGTGGTAGGAGGTCATAATTATTATGTTTTATAATTATATATATATATTTATTATATCACCGGTCCGATCAGTTGACCCACTGATTGAACCACAAAACCATTGACCTAGTTCCCTAGTCGGTTCGATGGTTGGTCTAGTTCTGATAACATTAGTTATAGGTTTAGTAGTTGAAGGAGCAAGTGAGATTGTGATCGATCAATAAAAAAACTGATAGATCAATTTATGATGTATTTACTTAAATACCCGGAAACAGTAAATAATAGAAGTGTTGTAAGGGGGGCTTTATCGTAAATAAAGATCGTAGGATACCCAAATAAATCCCCAAATCCCANAGTAGTCCATTTTGGTTGACGTGGTAGGAGGTCATAATTATTATGTTTTATAATTATTATATATATATATTTATTATATCACCGGTCCGATCAATTGACCCACTGATTGAACCACAGAACCATTGACCTAGTTCCCTAGTCGGTTCGATGGTTGGTCTGGTTCTGATAACATTAGTTATAGGTTTAGTAGTTGAAGGAGCGAGTGAGATTGTGATCGATCAATAAAAAAACTGATAGATCAATTTATGATGTATTTACTTAAATACCCGCAAACAGTAAATAATAGAAGTGTTGTAAGGGGGGCTTTATCGTAAATAAAGATCGTAGGATACCCAAATAAATCCCCAAATCCCACAAATTAGTCCTAAATCTCCTTAAGCGAAGTTGAAGAAGAGTGAAATTTCTATTGTGAATCTTCCTTTGTTGCTTTGTTGATGTCGAGCAGAGAGATGAAGAAATGAAAGAAGGTGGATAGTGGGGGAAGTTCTTGCAATGTGAAACTCTTTATGGATAAACATGCTAAGAAGAGGTATGATACATTCATTGTTAAATTTTCTCTATTACTTGAGCATGGTGTTTACCTCGATGATGTAGTAGGCAGTGTGGATTGTCCTGAAATGCTTCGTGCTCAGAAATGGGATCCTCTATTTGATGTGCATATGGAAGATAAAATATATGTTGATCTGATTAAGGTTTTTTATGCAAATATTCATGAGTACAACGAGAATGAACGGACATTTAAGTCATTGGTTAGGAAAAAATCCATCACTATTTCNAGATAAAATATATGTTGATCTGATTAAGGTTTTTTATGCAAATATTCATGAGTACAAGGAGAATGAACTGACATTTAAGTCATTGGTTAGGAAAAAATCCATCACTATTTCGCCTGATTTTATTTCAAATATATTAAAAATTGATAGACCAGACATACATGAGAATTTCATTGTCTTTCCATATTCAAGCAAGGAGCAATATCTTGAAATGGCGACGGTTATTCTAGGTATTTGTATTGGGAGTGTCCCTAGGGAGAATGAGAAAAGCAAAATTGCTCACATTGACCTTACACCAACGTTTAGGATGTTAAACTGCATTGTTGCTTGTGATATACATCCGAGGGGACATACTGCTGAGATTGTATACGATATAACCCAACTGTTATATGTTATTGGTGAACGTGGTGTTTATATTGATCTACCCCTCTACATATTCAACCATGTTCTAAAAGCATCTAAGGTAGAGAATTGCAGGCAATGTCTTTCATTTCCAATCTTAATTTCCAAGATTTTGAAACATAGTGCTGTTGAATTTTAGTAGCATGATAGTTTTATGTACCCCATGAATGCAATGGGAATGGGTACACTAAATAAAAATGTGGGAGTTATTTTGGGTGCAAAACAGGATAAACGTGTGAAGCAGCCATCAGCAGTGTCAAATTGTGGGTAGTCAAGCTAGTTCTACTATTGGTACTAGTGAGGTTGGACAAACACTTCAGTACATGGTTGAAAAGTTGGAGGCTTGATTTGAAAAGTTCGAGGATAAAACGAAGGGGTCATTCCAGTGTCTAGAGACAAAATTAGAATATTTTTATAAGGACTTTAAAGAGTACATCAACAAATGACACATTAGTTTTGTGTGTGTGTGTGTGTGTTTTTTTGTATAGTAATATTTGGTATTTTGGCAAGGGTGTTGTAGACGGTGTGAGCTTGATTGTTAAATATATTGGCTACTAGTTATAAACAAATTGAGGTTTGATGATTTTTGAGTTTTGGTATGGTGAATGTGAGGTTTGTGCGTACTTTCAGGTTTATTTGATTTTAACAATGAAGTAATGTAAAGGATGTAGATAAATTTTACCTCTGCACATTAGGTGAAATTAATTGTAACTACATATTGAGGTGTTTAGACTGCTTCCTTCATTTTGCCCTCGTCATCTATATAGGAAAAGAGGGTGTAGGGTTGCACCTTCCATGCACTTAAGAAAGCTGCATTGTGTCGTCAACTGCTGTAGAGCAAAAGGTTGATTATCCCAGATTATTCTAGTGGTCAAGTGAGTACATGTTAACACTGTAAGAAGTATTTAGTGCAGTATGCTAATGAAATCGTGCAATGACAAAGCACATGTAATCGTACTCACCTCAAAATTGTTTAAACAAGTATTAATCTTTTGCCCGTGCACATTTTAATCAAATTCAAGGATCACTTGCTATTATAAAAAAAATTGGATATCAAAACCATGTTAGTATCTACTGAATTTCCCAAAGTAATTAAAAGGTGATAGTGTATGCAACCTAGTATCGGAGGACACTGTAATTGTAAGTAGGATTCCAATGGTCGTCTTCTTGAGTTAATGGCATGGGATGTTGGGAGCCACCAGGTTGTGAGAAGTGCATGTCATTGTGTGGGTCATCCGTATGGCACGTAAGCTATAGACATTTACAAATAGTATGGCCAGTGCCATGACATTTACTACATCATCGCGGAGCTATTGGAAGGTTCTTCCGTACACGGCCCGGATTGCCTTTAGTTGTCACTATCTTGGTATCGACGACACCAAAATTTCTATTCGACACAATGTCATTAACTTTGTGATGTGATGATGAAACTTGTGTTGCCTCGCGTGTATCATGACGTTGTTTCATGCGGTTGATTACTGCAGTTATTGTTGTTTGAAACTCCTCTGTGTTCTCAAGAAATTGTGTTCTATAGTAACACATCCGGCTACACATTGATATTAATCCAGCATATCGGCAAGAAATTGATAAGGTTCTGGATGTTTGAGGCACAGAGGTCAGTGGGCAAGCTGATTTTGCATTAATTGTCCATCGCTTTGGAATAGTACTATGAGGGAACTCTGTTGTGTGTTTAGTTTTCAAAATTGTAATGATGTGTGAGCAAAGAAGCCCAACAAACTATAATTTCAGGCAATTGCATTTGAAGGTGTGATTCTGATAATCATATATCACATTCCAACTGGATGTTGGTTTTGTGTATTTTGACAGATAATAACTCGAATGACTAATATGCTGAATTTTTGGGATTATGAAGAAGAGTCCTTCGGTAGGCAGCGTGCTGCTCTAAGCCATGTAGTGAAGTGGTTAACACTAGTGTACTGTTTTAAGAATAATGGTTGTCATAGGCTTCGGTCTCTCGGATTCTCGATACTCCCCTATCATATTGTTTAACAAACTCATACAAAACGAAACGTTGTTTTTAGGAAATGATTCAAGTAACCATTCAAGCTTTTTGAGCGTTGTGTGCTTTTTATGCCTCCAAAGAAATGACCTCACAAGAATGCTTTAACCCATTTCGCAAGCTTTGTGTACACATCTGATATCCAGATTTGAGGTGATCGAACAATTTTATAAGTTTGGGGGTTGAAAATTTTTTGCACTTTAGTGTATATATATATATTGTTTGTGTATTTTTATATAAATATTAAAAAAATTAAGTGATTATTTAAAGAAATTTAGTGGAAATTTAGGTATAATTTGCTAAAATTTAGTTAATTAGGTTATTCAGATCGAATTTTAGGATCATTAACAGATTCGGATATGAACTACAAAAAAAATCCGCCATATTTTCGGATTGAATTCGNACAATGTCATTAACTTTGTGATGTGATGATGAAACTTGTGTTGCCTCGCGTGTATCATGACGTTGTTTCATGCGGTTGATTACTGCAGTTATTGTTGTTTGAAACTCCTCTGTGTTCTCAAGAAATTGTGTTCTATAGNACAATGTCATTAACTTTGTGATGTGATGATGAAACTTGTGTTGCCTCGCGTGTATCACGACGTTGTTTCATGCGGTTGATTACTGCAGTTATTGTTGTTTGAAACTCCTCTGTGTTCTCAAGAAATTGTGTTCTATAGTAACACATCCGGCTACACATTGATATTAATCCAGCATATCGGCAAGAAATTGATAAGGTTCTGGATGTTTGAGGCACAGAGGTCAGTGGGCAAGCTGATTTTGCATTAATTGTCCATCGCTTTGGAATAGTACTATGAGGGAACTCTGTTGTGTGTTTAGTTTTCAAAATTGTAATGATGTGTGAGCAAAGAAGCCCAACAAACTATAATTTCAGGCAATTGCATTTGAAGGTGTGATTCTGATAATCATATATCACATTCCAACTGGATGTTGGTTTTGTGTATTTTGACAGATAATAACTCGAATGACTAATATGCTGAATTTTTGGGATTATGAAGAAGAGTCCTTCGGTAGGCAGCGTGCTGCTCTAAGCCATGTAGTGAAGTGGTTAACACTAGTGTACTGTTTTAAGAATAATGGTTGTCATAGGCTTCGGTCTCTCGGATTCTCGATACTCCCCTATCATATTGTTTAACAAACTCATACAAAACGAAACGTTGTTTTTAGGAAATGATTCAAGTAACCATTCAAGCTTTTTGAGCGTTGTGTGCTTTTTATGCCTCCAAAGAAATGACCTCACAAGAATGCTTTAACCCATTTCGCAAGCTTTGTGTACACATCTGATATCCAGATTTGAGGTGATCGAACAATTTTATAAGTTTGGGGGTTGAAAATTTTTTGCACTTTAGTGTATATATATATATTGTTTGTGTATTTTTATATAAATATTAAAAAAATTAAGTGATTATTTAAAGAAATTTAGTGGAAATTTAGGTATAATTTGCTAAAATTTAGTTAATTAGGTTATTCAGATCGAATTTCCGGATCATTAACAGATTCGGATATGAACTACAAAAAAAATCCGCCATATTTTCGGATTGAATTCANAATAACACATCCGGCTACACATTGATATTAATCCAGCATATCGGCAAGAAATTGATAAGGTTCTGGATGTTTGAGGCACAGAGGTCAGTGGGCAAGCTGATTTTGCATTAATTGTCCATCGCTTTGGAATAGTACTATGAGGGAACTCTGTTGTGTGTTTAGTTTTCAAAATTGTAATGATGTGTGAGCAAAGAAGCCCAACAAACTATAATTTCAGGCAATTGCATTTGAAGGTGTGATTCTGATAATCATATATCACATTCTAACTAGATGTTGGTTTTGTGTATTTTGACAGATAATAACTCGAATGACTAATATGCTGAATTTTTTGGACTATGAAGAAGAGTCCTTCGGTAGGCAGCGTGCTGCTCTAAGCCATGTAGTGAAGTGGTTAACACTAGTGTACTGTTTTAAGAATAATGGTTGTCATAGGCTTCGGTCTCTCGGATTCTCGATACTCCCCTATCATATTGTTTAACAAACTCATACAAAACGAAACGTTGTTTTTAGGAAATGATTCAAGTAACCATTCAAGNCACTAGTGTACTGTTTTAAGAATAATGGTTGTCATAGGCTTCGGTCTCTCGGATTCTTGATACTCCCCTATCATATTGTTTAACAAACTCATACAAAACAAAACGTTGTTTTTAGGAAATAATTCAAGTAACCATTCAAGCTTTTTGAGCGTTGTGTGCTTTTTATGCCTCCAAAGAAATGACCTCACAAGAATGCTTTAACCCATTTCGCAAGCTTTGTGTACACATCTGATATCCAGATTTGAGGTGATCGAACAATTTTATAAGTTTGGGGGTTGAAAATTTTTTGCACTTTAGTGTATATATATATATTGTTTGTGTATTTTTATATAAATATTAAAAAAATTAAGTGATTATTTAAAGAAATTTAGTGGAAATTTAGGTATAATTTGCTAAAATTTAGTTAATTAGGTTATTCAGATCGAATTTTAGGATCATTAACAGATTCGGATATGAACTACAAAAAAAATCCGCCATATTTTCGGATTGAATTCGAATTGGACTTTAAAATTCGGATTCAGATAAGCCAAAGTACTAATCCAAACTTGATCCATTGATGGTTCCACTTAATGGTCAGCTAACCTTGTTCCTCAGGAGGCTTGTCTTTAAATTAGCTTAAATTATGGTGACCGATCATAAAGTTCGAGGAGATAGTCAACATAAACCTGAACACCTTATAACCAAAAAAAAAAAAAAACTCCTGATTTTTTCCGTCTTGCACTTTCTACATTTTTGCTTTCAAAGTTCAAACGAGAACATAACCCTTGATTGCTAAAATTTAAGCAAACGAAATCCAATGTAAGCTGCTTAACACATGATGAGGGTGGTGACTGAGTGGATTTCAATAGAGATTTAAAAATAAAGAAAATTAAAGGTAGGGAAGAGGGATACATAAGGTGGTGAAACATCAGAGATGGAGATTTAAGTGAACATTTAAGTTTATTTTGATTTGACCAAAAAATTATTTCTTCTCTCATTTGATTTGAAATTGAGTAAAAGACTAAAGTTTATTTACCATGTTTTNATAAAGAAAATTAAAGGTAGGGAAGAGGGATACATAAGGTGGTGAAACATCAGAGATAGAGAATTAAGTGAACATTTAAGTTTATTTTGATTTGACCAAAAAATTATTTCTTCTCTCATTTG